CATCCCCATCCCACATCCATCTTCTCCTGCCCTTGGATGTCAGAACTTCAGGTTTTCTGACTTGGATCCTAGGAGATGCAGCATCAAATCCCCAGGTCCCCAGGTCTTTGGCCTTTGACAGTTAAAGGATTAGAAAGGATCAGCTCCCCTTGTTCTCAAGCCCTCAGACTTGGCCTGAGACACACTATTGTCTTCCTTGCGTGTCCAGCTTTCAGATGGACTATCCTGGGACTTCTCAGTCTCCATGATTGTGTGAGACAATCCCCTAATAAATTCTCTTTCATATATCTACATCTATATCCATCTATATCCAAGATCTAGAACTTGTTGGGTCTGTTTCTCTAAAGAAAACAGGCTAATTCCCTTGCCAACGAATTTTAAAATGTATTTGAAAATGAAAAGGGATGAACAGCATAGAAATGGCAAAGTCTCCAAAGTGGATAGAAAACCCATTGGGAAATATTTAACATAATAATGAGCATTCAAGAACAGTCATCTGTGTTGGTAGAAATCACACCCCCTTCACACACACACACACACACACACACACACACACACACACACACTCACTGAGTTCCTCTTAAAAGCAGAGCCAGAGACAATGACTTGGGTACAGGATTGTTTATCTCAGAGGTGTTCACAAGATGCAGAAGTGACAGTGAGAAAAATGAAAAAGAAGGGACAGACACCATCAAAAGTGCACTAATAAGCAGCAATGGCTAGGTGAAGTAGAACTTAATCCCACAAGAACTCTGAGAAAATTTGCAGATAAAGTTCAAAATGTCCCCCAGACACATGGGAACCTGGAACAATGGCTCACCAGCTCCCATTCCACGCAACTGTGGACTGTCTTGGGAGTGGCAGCTCACTTCCAGGTTGTACCTCCAAGCAGCCCGTGTGACCTTCTACAGCCTCAGAGATAACCCTGAGGTCAAACAGCAGAGTCTCCCTGGGAACACACATGATGCAGGAGACTGGCAACGGAAGTGTGCCCAGAGCCATGTGGAATCTGGATGTTTTGGAAGAGACAAGCATCTTTTTGCCCAAACCCAGTGAATAGGACAATGTGATTTTGTTGGCAGAATTCTCAGGCAGTGATGGACCCCACCATCACTCCCCACTTGCTGCCCTTTCTTCCTCCCCACATAGTTACTGGGACCATCCATCCCGCATTTTCAGCTGTTTGGTGATATGAGCTACACAAGGAGTTTCCCCAGTGCCCACATGAGGCTCCACATAACCTATGCTCTGGCCTCACTGAACAGCTTCCTTCGTATCATGACACCCCCAAACTCCCCCTACCCCTGCAATGCCTTTCCTTCACCACTCCTTTCTGGCTCCTCYTATAAGAGCTTCCAGGTCTAGCCCAGATGTCAGGATCACCCAGAGGTCAAAAGAAGCCCAGATGGGGTGAGGGCTGGTAATGGATGAAACAGGACTGGCCACAAGTGGAGTGGATAATAGCTGACACCTGGTGATGTGGATGTGGACCCAGGTCGACATTCTCTCTACTTGTACATATGTATATTTGAAAAATTCCTTAACCGAAAATTAAAAATAGGACTTACTGTGCCAGACACAAAGGAAATGGGTTTCCTTTAAGAAAATTAATTGCTGTTCAACTATGAAAAATGAAGCTGACCAATAGGGTTCACCTCAGCATTCAGGCAGAGGTCTCACTCACTTGGACTGCCCCAGCCACTGGACAAGCCCAGTGCAGGTATGAGACCCAGCGGGTTCTGCCCACTGGGGACTCCCCAAGTGAGTGGTTCTTGCTCTGGAGCTTCCCTGGGTGTTGGTGGAGACCTTGTCAGACCTGCATTGCAGTCAGGGGCCCTCCTTGTTCCTTTCAGTCACTTTCTCTTTTCATTCTGCATTGCCCTCGGCAGCCTTTCCCTATCCAATCCCACTTCCGACACCTTTGCCTTTCCCAGGTGTGACTCCTCAATAAAACTTTGACCCTCTAACCCCACCTTGGTAATGGCATCCCAAAAGACTTCASTTGACACAATGGAGGCACAGATTGCTTGATTCCCTCTTCACCAACCCAACCCCTGCAAAGCCCCCAAAATAATAAAGAAATAACAAATACACACATCAGGTCATATATAAATTTTTGCATATAATAAACTAATGTTTTTTACACTAAAAAATACAGTGGCTATGTATATAATGTGATTTGGGAATGTTATCAAAAAATTTAATTTGTGGTCCCTTGGGGAAATGAAGCCCCTGTCAGGGTTCTCCTTTCATCTCACCCATATGCTGGTCCTACTAGATAWCACAATCCCGGGAAGTTCTCCAAGATCACCCCAGGATGGGTTGGGTAGCCTCTTCTATGCTCCTATAACAYCCTAATCTCTGCCACTAGATAACCATCCCATGCTGGTCCTGGCTGTAGATATTCTGCCTACCTACTTCTGCTGTGCCCCAAATCAGCTGTGAGCAGCTGGAGAACCCAGCATATAGTAGGGTGCTCAATAAGTGACTCTGGGTCAATCATTGACAGGCATAAGGACCCTATATAGGACCCATCTCCACAGTGATCCTGCAGATTTATAAAAGGCTTAGGAAGAGTGACTGGATGACCCCTTTCAGTTTGGAGTTGACATGAAAATAGAGGGAAGAAACTACCGGGAGGCCTTGTTATAATGCTTTCTCAAGCCCTGGGATTCAGGGAACCCTACCAAACACCTCTGGCCCTCTAGGGCAGGGCACCTCACAGGTAGAAAAGGGAAGATCATATCTGTCCCCTATTCTGTTTCTCTCTGAAGGGAAGACCTCTTAGTAGCTAGTAAAGGCAAGAGACCTAGCAGCAGCCTCTTTTGTTGAGGTAGGACCCAAGCTGGCTTCAGCCAGGTGACAAGGCTGGTTTTCTTGCCAGCCAGGCTCTGGTCAGGATCACCAGCCAGAAACCCTGGGTCTGCCAGTGCTCCAAGGACCGGCATCAGACTTCTCTGGTGGCTTTGAGCAGGACAAGGGCTTTGGTTTCTCTCTTTGGTCCAGGTCCTGGGGAAGATCTTCCAAGGAAGAGATCTCTAAGTCGCTCTCATCTTCAGAAAGCTGTGAGGTGTAAGGGGAGAAGAAAAATGCATTTTGATAAATGCAGGAAGACAATAGAAAGGTAAGCACCATGCAGGATGGAAATGGGGACAAATGCAGTTTTGGAAGACACTACTCCTGCCTTCTCAAGAGAAACTGCTCAAGAGACCACAGAGGCCACAATGACTTCAAATACCTCTGGAACTCTACTAACCAAACCTTGGAAAGACCTGTGTGTATATCTTTTGCCCCCACTTTCATTCAAATTGTGCAGATTTTTAACTCCCMATATGGACAGAGCTGGAAATCAGAATCTCAACCTCTGCAAGTTCTAGAGCTGAATACACCATGGGAAGGGACACAGGATTCTTCAGTTTGGAAGGGGTTCAGCAGCAGCCAATGAGGGTTCAGAGTTCACAGAGGAATCAGGCAACCCCAGACCACAGCAACAGCCCAGGCCAGGCCTTCCCCTCTTSATGCCCCTGCTGATCACCTGGGCTTCAATATAAGTCACTCTATGTATTTTCTCCTGGCATGTAAGGCCAACCAATCAGAAACCACCTGGGGCCCTGAGCTGCAAGTATGCTCTGATCAGCGCCTCCATCTGTTTTGGACAGTTGGTCCTCTTTCATGACCTGGGAAAAGGGATATGATAAACCAAATACACTAAGTAATAAATAGAATGAGCAGGGGGATGCTATGAAGAAGAAGAAGAAGAAGGAGGAGGAGGAGAAGGAGAAGGAGAAGGAGAAGGAGAAGAAGAAGAAGAAGAAGAAGAAGAAGAAGAAGAAGAAGAAGAAGAAGAAGCTGGTTGTTCAGCTCAGTGGTAGAGCAATTGCCTAGCATGCATGAGGCCCTGGGTTCAATCCCCAGCACTGTTAAAAAAAAAAAAAAAGAAAGAAAGAAAGAAAGAAAAGAAAAAGAAACAAAGAATGATTGTCCACTACTTCTGGCTTCAGGGCATTAGCACTGAGCATTCCAAAATGCAACTCTTTGACTTAGAAGGTAAGAAAGGAGCGTGCAGTAAGTAAGGTCTAAGTTTTCCTACCTAAGAAAATAATAGGAGTGTGGAAGGTGCTGAGGGGCTGGTAATGGTAGGGGAAGTGCCATATCTGAGTCTAAAAGTCTGATGGCAGCTACAGCCTGATGGAAGCAAAGCCATCAGGACACTTAGTGATGAGCCATCGCCTTGAATAACAAAATATCTAAATATTGCCATTTTACATTGTTGCCTCTGATGGTAGGCCCACCCCTGCAGGGAAGGGTTCTGCTCTGTACACAGCCTTGAGTTATGATAGAGTGAGGGCTTGGGAGGAGCCCACTATGGAAGAGATGATGCAGGAATAAAGCAGCCACAACAGAGGCCATGTGTAGTCAGTTCCCAGACTCTTAGAGGCAGATGACTAAGAATTAAACCTATTGAACGGATGCTTGTATAATGAACCAAAAGGATTTTTTTTTTTGCATGTATGGTACTAGGAATTGAACTCATGAGTGCTTTACCACAGATCTACATCCCCAGCCCTTTTTATATTTTATTTTGAGAGAGAGTCTAACTAAGTTGCCTAGATTGGCCTTGAACTTGTGATCCTCCAACCTCAGCCTCCCAGGTCACTGGGATTACAAGCATGTGCCATTGCATCTGGCTCAAACGGATTCTAATGTTAACATGAGCACAAAAAGAATTCTAAAGTGGCCATCTCTCCACGTGTGTAGGGGTAGAGAGAGACAATGTCACATTCAATGTCCTGTGAAGGTCAAGTGACCCTCCCCACAACTCTCACCCCAGGCCCTTCAAATATCAGGGCTACCCCAAGCATCCCGCATGCTACCTGAGGCTTCCCTCTTGGCRTGGAAGCCCTCTGCAGCCCTGTGTTGGACCTCGAGAACAGAYTGACCCCTCCAGCAGGCTTCTTTGCAGGAGTCTCAAGCTGCTTCTCAAGGTTTTTGACCATCGACTGGACCAGCGTTCCTGGAAGGGGGACAAGTGGTTTGTCACTGGAAAGAGCTGGAGAGTGAATGCTTCATCCTTATGGGTCACATCCAGATTACAATGTGATAGAGGAAGTGGGGAGAGGGTCAGGAGGAAGAAGGTAGGGCAACCACAAAGAAAAAAGGCAAGGAGATAGAAGGCCCAGGCCCGCATATGCCCAGTTCCAAGGGGCTTGGAATATGCTGAATGTGTCACAGTGCTGACTTGACATTGCAGCTGATGGTGGCTCAGGAAGACGTCCTCCCCTCTCAGGAAGGGCTGAGGTGGACCCTTGCTCAGTGCCATGCAAGAACTAACATGCAGATGGGCTCTTCTTCAAAACTTTCACACAGAGACAAGAATAAATATTAATTATGAATTAGCACAGGAGGACTGAGGAAGAGAAAGGCTTTCTGTGAACTCCATGTAGGAAACAGGAACTGAACAGAGATGGAGATCATTATCAGGCCCTGATGCCTGAAACCAAGGTGATGTGGAGACTGACCAGAAAGCAGGGACTTAATTCCACACGGCCTTCTAGGACTCAAATGCCTGGGGCCTGAGAAAATGTTTTGAGCTATAATAGTCCCTGGCTCATTGACTCATTTAAGAAATACGTGTTAAGAGCCTATATGTGCTCCTTACCCTCTTACTAATCATGTTGTCCAAATACCTCATTTTACAACAAAGGAACCAAAATCTATGCACCAGGACAAGCAGGTAGCAAGTGACAGAGCCAGAGCTGCCTCAGGAGATTCCTGACTCCTTGCCAGCCTATGGCCCTGACTGGTAGGGCATCGAGACTTCTCCAGGGATCCAGTTCTACTGGATTCTCATGGGCTGACAGGCTTGATTTATGCTGAAGTACTGCAGAGTCCATTAAGGACAGGGACTTGCAGATTGCAAACCTAGGCATATGGGTCAGTCAGCTGTGCATCGCTGTGACCAAAATTCCTGACATGCACAACTTAGAGGAGGAAAAGCTTATTTTGAGCTCATGGTTTTGGAGATTAAGTTCATGGTCAGCCAGCCCTATTGCTTTGGACCCAAGATGACACAGAACATCATGATGAAAGGGTACAGTGAAGAAAAGCTGCTATGCTCATGGTGGCCAGGAAGAGTGGGAAAAGGGAGTGTCACAAGAAAGATGAACACTTACAGGGTACGCCCCCAGTAACCCACCTCCTCCAGCCACACCCATACCTACCTACAGGTACCATTCATTCAGTCTGTTCAAACTACAATGGACGGATTAGGTTACAGCCCTCAAATTCCAATCATTTCACCTCTGCATTAACACAGGAGCTTTGGGAGAACACTTCATATCCAAACCATAACAACACAAACCCAAAAGCTTTTCTTGCTGAGCCTGGAAACATAAAATTCTATACTCTTCAGCTCAGCCACGGAGAGAAAATGCAATTGAAGTTACAGTCCTCTGTTAGCAGTTTTATAAGAAAAACTTGCAAGAATGGAAAGGATACAGGTTCTGAGAAGAATGCTCAACTAATCATTATGGCTTTGAGACAGGAGATGGTAAGTTTAAGAAATACTTAAGCATTCTAATTACCATACTATTTAACTCACATCTGCATGATGCTCTGTTCACCAACAAGCTGAATTCCTATCTGTCTCTTTGCCGTAAAAGGCAAAGATCTTTCCTGTAGGATTGAAGGGCTGCTATGCTCCACAGGCTGATGGAGGAGACTGAGGCAGCCCATTGAAAAGACTTCCTGTTCATTTCTGTGGTCAAAGGCTCCCCCTCTCTGCCTAGGAGCTTGGGTTGGACCCCTCCTGAGGAACCTCCTATTCACATCTGTCTCCTCTCCCCCTTTTGTGCAAAAGCCTGTAGGAGGCCCAGGACAGGGCTRCCTGAGGCCATGGTAAGTCAGGGTCACATCTTTCCCTTGTCAGGACTGTGAGGAGTGAACAAGAGTCTCCTGTGGACAGATCTACACAGAGCTGGGTCGGTGGYGAGTACTCAGTAATAAATATAGAGGGAAACCTTTTCTCTCTGCCTCAAGCTTCTACAGAAGAACTTCTTCATCCACCCAGATGGGTAAGAATGAGAGAGGTGCCCACTCAGTTTATCCCAACACCAACCTGTTCTCTCCTACCCACAGAAGAAGCCAAGAAGAAGGGAGGAACGACAAAATCCACTGGGCGGCGACAATGCCACTCTTTCTGTCTGACCCTCTCCCTGCACCTGTGGCTGGGTTTGGAGATCAGGTGGAACATTCCCCACAGCTGTTTAAGATTCTGCCCCTCGGGTCTGCTTTACCAACTCAACCCTTGGCACAGGCACAGTCGGGATCTGGATTTGGGGAGCTTGGAGGGGACCCCACTTAGGCCTCAAATACTGGCTGTTTCTTCACTCTAGCCCTAACAGGAATGACTTAGATATTATCKAATGCCTTAGATATTCCTGGACCCTATCATCCTTAACAGAATGAGGCTTTGATCTCAATGTATCTGGTGAAAGTGTTTATTCTCTACCTGTAAGAATGTGGAGGAGAAAAGAAGTGGGTTCCTCCAACATCCAACAGTTAAACAACTCAGTGACGACACAAGGTACCAAATAAACCTACCAAATAAACCTCACTCATGTTCTAGCTTTCTCCTGAGATCTCTCTATCCCCCCCCCAAAAAAAAAAATCTGAGGGGAAGGAGGACTACACTTTCCAAGTTAAACAAACAAAGAGATGCCAAATCAGAAATCCCAAGAAATTTGTCCTAGAGAAGGGCTACCCGAAGTCCCACTCACCTGAGGAAGCCAGGCCACCTGAGTTCTTGCCAGGGGACTGGGCATTCTCCTCTGAGGTCTCAGTGTCAGACCAGTCCCAGGAGTCCTCCAGCTTGGGCACTGTCCTGGAAGGAGTCTGTGGAGGCTGGAGAGGCACGTGATGCCCAGTGTCCCCCTCCAACTCCTCTTCAGAACTGAATGGGGGCGTGCTACTGCATGAAGGAGAAGAAATGAAGGGTACATGAATCAGAAAGAAAAATTTAAATTCCAAAGTTCACCACCTTGCTAGCTGGTTTAGTCTTCCTAGAGCTAGCCCTCTTCTGCCCCTTGGGCTCTGATGACAGCCAGGAGCTACATAGGAGTGGACCCATCACACCAGCTTCTCCTTCAGAAGGGGCTCAGAAGGAGGCAGCCCTAGTGGCCTGAGGACCCCATCCTCCCGTGTAGCAACCGGGGTTGGAGGAAGAGTTGGGGAAGGGGAGGATAGGCCTGTCTTGCCTGGGAGCAAAGGATCCCCAGCTTGGGTTGGACCCCACCTGAAGCACCTCCTATTGACATCTGTCCCCCACAACCCATTTTCTGCAGAAACCTGTAGGAAGCCCTGGACAGGGATGGCTGAGGCCAGGGACACCAACAGTAAGAGGCCTGAGCTCAGGGCTCACCTCAACCCGGGCCCTGGAGAAGCAGGGATGCTGGAGGGTTTGTGTAGCCTGGGGCGTGGAGTAGGGGTGGACACCTGGGCCAGGCCAAGGCCACGGCTGCTGCGCTTCTGAAGGGTTGGTGTGGGTGGCTCTGCCAGCTTGGATGGCAACACCATGTGCAGGGTCCTGGTCTTTGGCTGGGCCTTTCCGGTATCCAGTGGGCTCTGCTGGATTTTGACTAGAAATACAGAAAAGAATGACTTTTAGAGTATGCCTGTGCTGGGGTCTCAAGCCTGAGAGGATATAGAAAGAGGGTCCAACACACTGGAGATGGGCAAGGCACTCAGTTGCAGTGGGCAGTAATAACCACAGCAAATTTAAGTTACCCTACTCCAGGAGTTCCTCTGAGGGAAGCACAGTTCCACAGTTTCATCAGACTAAGAGAACAGCAGGGTGTCATCACAGGAGACCCACAGGAGTCAGCAGGTCTGAGCACCCTGAGCTATCCTAGAACTGGACCTTGGTCTTAGCAATGTTCCCTCCCTACTTGCTGCTGGAATATAGGCAACCTTGCAGGAAGGTCCTGCTGCCACCAGAGGTCGCCGCAGGACTACATGGGCCATGGAGCCACATGCAACCTCCTCCCACATGCAGCCTGGGGCCACAATAYGCCTGGCAATTAGATAGACCCCTCTGTTTTCCAAATTGCATCAGGATTCGCTGTTGTGGGGCAGGTGGCGGGGGAGGACCCAACAATTGTTTATGGAAAATGAACAGGACAGAAAGGGCATCACAGAGAGTCCAAGTGCTCTCCATAAAACTTATATGTTTGAATAGAGTTTCTTACTACAGTAACTCAAGGTCAAAAACATTTGAAATACACTGCTTTCAGAGAATGCATTTACTCAGAAGTGGACCTAGGAAAGAGTGAGATGAAGAGAAGGGAAAAGGTGAAAATAAACTTGCTGAAGGAAAACAACAACTGCTCACAATTATTGTGTACCAGGTCCAAACAAAGCACTTCATACAACATCCATTTGGTGCCCAGAGCATCTTCAGACAGCATTGTTCTGCCTTATAGGGGCTCTGAGAGATTAAGGAACTTGCCCATAGCTCCATGGAAGAAAGTGAAAGATGCAAACCCTGGTGGTCTGTCTGCCCCAAATATTCACTCCTGATGCCAGTTTTGCTGCATCCCACAATCCTGCTCCCAAGCAAGAGAAGAGGCATGGTCGGATCAGAGACAGGAAGAGAGCATTGGCAGAGCATCTGTGGGGCCTGGGAGGAGAGTGTGGGATCAGAGCTGGAAGAAAAGGATTACAAAGTGCCATGAACCAGTGCCCTCCTCTCACACCTCAGTTTTCTGGACCTGGAGCCAGGGAAGGAGAGAGGACAAGAGAAAGCGGGTGGCACCTAGAGGGAAAAAGATACCTTTCCTTTCTCTTGGAAGCTGGTACTCTGAGGATGTTTCCATTCATTTTCCCTTTACTGTCCCACCACCCCTGTGCCTGGCTCCATTGTATCACCTAGTCCTGGCTAGTTTCCCAGGTAAGGGGACAGTCCCGGCACTAAGTCAACCTCAGCAAATACTGTACTAAAATGAAAACGGGGGACGGGAGGGGAGATGAATTAATGAGACGACATTTGTACAAATGAGCAAACCAAAGCATGAAAAGCATGTTAGTAACCAGAACAAATACCAGAGATGTCTATGTACAGCAAGATCTGTCCTTTCCTTAGAGATTTGACAAGACCAGCAGTTTACACTGAATAGGATAGTTTCCCCCAACATCACATAATTTTTATCACATTCTCATACCAACTGTCCTGTTATTTAACATTTTTATATAAAATGACTGCACTTGTAAACATAAAATACCTGTTTTATACTTGTCCAAGTAATAATTTGCATGAGCTTACAGGATTGCTCTATTGGAAATACTCTTTTTTTTTTCTAATTCATGTGAAGAAAAATAAAGCTTAAATTTTAAAAAGATTGGTTTGTGTAGTGCTAAAATCTTCCATCTTGTCCCCAGAAATATGCAGACCACACTTTACAAAATCTCTTTGCCCAGGGAGCTCAGATTGGGTCCGTCCAGACATGAGATSCAGAATTAGCCTCCTTCTGGGCCACATGTGTCCACACCTGAGGAGATATGAAGGAAGCTGAGCATCATCTGCACGAATAGACCTAGGCCCACAGAAGCTCTCCATAGAGCCTCCAGGTCAGCAGCAGCACAGTGGACCTGGGAATCCTCTAGAAATGCAGCCTATCAAATCAAGGAAGGAAAGTTTCCCTAGTCCACAAGATCTTTGAGGGAAGATACCTGAGTGTTGTTGTCCATATATTTTAATCTTCCACCAAAACACAGAGTCTCGCCTTGTCAACCCATGGGAACAGGGACAATTGGCAAAGCAATAACTTTGACTTGAGCAGGGAACAAAGCTTGAGCCCTGAAGATTTGTCTGAAAGCAGCTCAGCCCAGCCCAGGTTCTGTGCTCTGCTCAAGGCAGAGAATCGCTGCACTATGAGGAAGTTTTGATTTGACTGATACTTGCTCCACCCTGCTACCTTAATGCTTGTCTCCCACATTGGCGTGCCTGGTGTGCAGAGCCAGATACCAACTGGGCTGCTGTCTGCTGGAGCAAAATTGAAACTATGATCAAAGCAAGTCAAGCAAGGCCAGAAGCAGCTGCAAAGGAGGCCTCATGTCTGAGCAGGAGGTCAGACTGGCCACAAGCTCCAGCTCTGCATCTCCTCCAGCTGGAGTGACCCCTGGACAAGTGGCCCCCAACCCAACTCCTAATTATTTTCCCAGAACAAGACTTTTGGACTTATTAGCCCTTGAGGATCAGCTCAGCCCTTCATGGCAACGCCCCATGGGAGGAACTGCACACCCTCTTCATGTGCCAACAAGCCTTGGTGAGAACAGGATCCTCCCAGGTCACAGTCCCAAAGCAAGCCCTGTCCCCAGCATACCTGGAGGCTGACCATCCTGATGAAACATGGAAGCCTCCGTCTGTCTCTCCTTCACTCTGCGGATGGTTTCCTTCACAAGCTTTTCCCTCAGGCTCAGAAATGCAGAAAACTTCCGGGCCCTCTGCTCCCGCTGGGCTCTCAGTAGGGACTCCAGGTGTTTGAAGGTCTGAACTGAGATTCCCTTTGCATCCTAGCAGAGACAGAAATTCACCTTTGCAGACAGAAGCTGCCCTTCTTTTTCCCCTATTCTCATGCCTGTGGCGGCTGACCTGGGGGTCGCTGTGATTGGCGCCTGTATGTTTTAGGTGGCAGATGGGGAGTGAAATGAGGTTCAGAGGAGGGAGAGCAGGGGCTTCACAGGTTGCTCAAAGGGTGGTGATTTAGGGCTTGGGAGCCCCACCAAAATGTGCATAGTAGCAAAACTGCAAAGGGTAGTGTCACAATTCCATGCACATCACAGCATAAGGGGCTTCATTTGGGACAAACTTTTTCACTATCCACTGAATCCTAAGATGATCGGTCCCTTACTTTTTTTTATACCCCCACATACTACCACCATTCAGACATGCTGTCCCCAGATAAAGATGTTTGAATAACTAAACTGCAAAAAATAAAACTACTGGAAGTTTCCAAGGGTTTTGGCATCTACCCAGAGCCCATAAGAGCATCTTTGGAGACTTCTGATTCCAAGACAGGGATTCATCCCAGTTTAGAAATAGTTTAAGTCTGAATATAGGAGCAAAGTTAGATTAAGCAGTAGTTAAAAAAAAAAAAAAAGGTTCAAATTAGTGAGCATCCTTCCTGAATTAAACCTACGAGTCTATTTTTTTCTCTAATCTCACTCATTGAAACACAAATGGCATTTTCAATAACACCATGCTCAGCTATCTTAATAACAAGATGTTTTTACTTAATAATAGATTTCATTGGTGCCATTAATGATAATGTAAATGCTCTGGCTAAACACAATGGCATTCAAATACTATCTGGCAGCAAATGCTGCTTTCAGTGCCTGTCCCACCAACAGGCACAAGCTGAGTGGGCATGGTATGTTTGTCACAGGTGATGGACTCACAGATGGACATTTATCCAAAGGGGACCTATCCATAGGCCAAACTGAGCCAATTAAATTCCCTCTGTCAGACAATTTGGAAACCCAGAAGTTGCCCATGAGTGGAGAACACTAAGGGGTCAAGGTGTAGGGGTCACCAATAGCCAAATAAGGCCACTCACAAGATGCCATTGGAAGGCACGTGGATTTCCCTTCACGGATATCAAAGGAGCCCAGGTCAGAACAAATGAATGGATGAGTTTACAAAGAAAAGAACAATTGATCACTTGTCAGTTTGAGAACACTTTGTGACTCAGTTGTAGGTGTAGCCCTTTAAATAGCGGTTCTAGAACCTACCCTCTTTATCCCCATGTCTTCCATCTTCTCTTGCAGGGTGTCCTCCAGGATGGGCCGGAACTGCTTCAGCAAGGAAGGGTTTTGCCTCAGAGCTGCCAGTACCTTCTGCTGCTCTCGTGGGGAGTCTTCTAGCTCTGTAGCCCAAAACAATCACCAAGGTCAGCGTGCCCACCTGAGACCCCCATTTGCAGAGACCCATGCACCTGCCAGGTCCTCATGCTGCCAGTAATCTAGGCCTCCAGCCTGGGAGCCCAGGGCCACCGACTCCTCCTCCAAAGTGATCACCTGCGCCAGAAGCTGGGATGTTTCTGCTCCTAGGTACCACTGTCCCAGACCCTTCAGTATGCTCATTCCCTCTCTTGTCTGGACCTCCCAAATCTGGGCTCTGTCAATCCTGCCACAGATTAACTCGTTTGGGCTTTGCACTTGAACCCCAAAAGTAACTTGTTCCTGAGTTCCGTTCTGGTCCCAAATTCTGGGCTCTTGTTCTGCCAGCTCCATAATCCTCCACCTGCCATCCTCATTCCAATGCCAGGTTCAGTTCTGTTCTGGCTCAGAAGACAAATTAGTGAGCAAGATAGACAGATCCCTGCTTTCTTCAAGTTTGCTGTCTAGATCAGGTTAAAAATACCTATTCCCTGGCTATACTCTGCCCAGAGTCTGATTGTACAAGTCAGGGGAACGGCCCTGAAATCTGTATTTTCACAGGCCCTGATTCTCATGGAGATGAGCCATGGGCTGCACATTTATAAGTACAGATCCACAAGGTAACAAAAAAAGCAATTACAATAAAACATGCTAACTGCTACAAAGGGGCAGTACTTAGAGCTGGAAGGCACGGTGCTTAGAGCTGAACCAACCCCTGAAATTCACTTAACAGACATTTACTACACAAGTAGAACAAAGGTATGAACAGGCCAGAGTGGATGCTGGGGACAGAGAAGAAATCCATCTCCTCTAACAGAGCTCAAGGTCAGGGCTGATGATCTCAATTTCAACAGCATATTGAAACCAACCCAGGTTAATTACTTCAGAATTTCAAAGGGTGGGTTCCCAACCCTGGATGTTTATTTTTAAAACTTCCTGAACTTTCTAACAAACACCATCACCCAGTAACTTGTAAGATATGCAGATTCTTAGCTCCTATCCCAAACCTACTGAATCAAAAATTCTGCATGTAGGGCCCAACAATCTGCACGAAAACAACCCCCACCCCATGATCACCAACCCCCCAACCCAACCCAACCCTCCACGGCTGATTCTCCTCAATGAAGTTTGCACTGGGACAGGCACCTCAACCATGGCTGTGCATCAGAATCACCTGGCAGCTTGAAATGCTTCTGGTGCCCACAGCCCACCCCCTACATGGTGTGCTTCAAGAAGCAGGGGACCAAAAGCAGGGGACCAAAAGCTAACCTGTGGCAGGACTGACTGAGCCCAGATCTGGGACAGTAGTACCCTGGAGCAGAAATACCCCAGCTTCCAGCCCAGGGGGACACTTAGGAGTAGAAGTCAGTAGCCCTGGGCTCCCCGGCTGGAGACCAGGTCCTGGTGATTCTCAATGTGCAGCCGGTTGTAGAGAGCCACTGGTCTCACAATGAACCCCAAACACGAGCAGGAATCAGAATGCCCTGGAGCACATGAAAACACAGACTGCTAGGCCCTGCCCTTAAGATCTCTGTAGTTTATCTAGGATGGGGCCTGAGAATTTGCAAATTTGCATTTCTAACAAGTTCCCAAGTCAGGCTTCTGCCTACTACTCTGGAGCAGAGCTTCCTCTCGCACTGTTTTTCCCAAGTGCATAGACTACTATCTAAAAAAAAAAAAAAATATATATATATATATATATATATATATATATATATATATATATATATAATTTTTTAATAAAATAAGGCCAGGCACAGTGGCAAATGCCTGTATTCCCAGCGACTCAGGAGGCTGAGGCAGGAGCATAAGGAGTTCAAAGCCAGCCTCAGCAACAGCAAGGCACTAAGCAATTCAGTGAGACCCTATCTCTAAATAAAACACAAAATAGGGCTGAAGATGTGGCTCAGTGGTTGAGTGCCCCTGAGTTCAACCCTTGGTACAAGAAAAGAAAAGAAAAAAAAAAAAAAAAGCTGTGATGAACTCTGGTGACAGAAGTCTAACCCTTCCTGGAGGTACATCTATTGGGTAACTTTGGAATTGTCCTATCACAGTCTCACTGAGTGCCCAGGCCTTGGTCAGTAGGTTGCCCTGAAAGAGTACATTCTTATTTCCCCAGGGAGCTTCCTCTCTCTGCTGTGCTTTAGAAACTCCTTTTGGTCAGGAAGCATGTCTATTTTTTTTCATCTCTCTTATGTATCCCCTCACAACATCTGGTTGAGAGCTCTGAAAATCAGAATCAGTCAGTAAATGAGGTGTGTGAAAATAGCAGGTACTCAGACCTTTAAACAGGGAGCAAAGCAGACTCCTGCACATAGTCAGGCCCTGTGGGAACCATCCGCAGCATACTCACAATGCAGAGTGAAACAGAAAAGGCCATTTTTAAGTCGATAGAGCAAGTTCTCAGAGCAAGTCACCAACTTTGTCTGAGCCTGGGTTTCCCCATCAGTGAACCAGAAGATTGCATGTGAATGCATGCATGTGACATACCTGGCACACACAGGTGCTAAAGACATTATTTCACATTCTTAATTCCCTCCACCCCTAGCTTCAGTGTCCAGAGACCAGCTAAGTAGAAACAAACTAAACAACCAAGACAGCAGCAAAGCTGTTTTCTGCACTGAACACCCAGAAAAGAAGAAGTGCCACCTTCCTCAGGAGAGTCCTCCTCTGTGTCCACAGCCTTTGGCACCTCTTGGGTCCCTGAAAAAAATAGATATAGTTAGTGGCTCCAGTACCCTGTACCCCATCCCAACTTTAGACAAAAGGGAAGCACCCCAGGTGACTACTGGTCAGAAGGAGCAAGCCCTCCAGTCAATTCATCTTTATTAGAGAGAGGCAGGATGGAGCAGTGGTCACAACCAAGGACAATGGAGGCAGAATGATTGGAGTTCACATGCCGGCTCTATCCCTCACTAGCACGAGATAGAAAGTCCTTGAACCTCCATAAGCCAAAGTTTCCTCATCTAGAAAATAAAGATAATGCCAACCCTACAGTAAATTGTGGAGATAATATGATATAGTGTAATTCAGGCAAGGTGAGTTTAAAAACCTACTCATGAACCCTAGTCCACCAATCACTGCCCCCAAGATCCTCGCCCCTCCCCTTTGCCTCCATACTCTTACAGAGAAGAGAAAGCCTGCCAGCGGGTGGAAAGCCTTCAGTTCAATGTTGTCTGCCCCAGGAGCTCCCTGGGAAAGCCTAACATGACATGTCCCATGGGCTGCTGTCACCAATCCTCTGCCTATAAATTGATGGGGGTTGTGGGAAGAAGAACCAAAGACTGGTAAAAACAATTCCCTGAAGACTTACTCTCCACCTTCCTGAGGGACAAGGTCTGGATCTGTAAGAGGTAGAACAGAGCAGGTTAGAGTCTGGTAAGAACGTGTGGGGATCCTGCTCTGRGCAGTAGACCTGTCTAGCATGGTGAAGAAGGGACCGCCACTGTTGTCATGCCACCCACTGAAACTGGAAGACACTCAGATGCACTGCCCCAGCCTCCTGGCACACCTCTTACAGTCCACATGTGAAAGGGGACGGAGCTCAGCTGGGACAGGGACAACCCAGATGACAGCCCACTCCATTTCCCCAAGGTGAAGAGGTAAGAATGACCCCTTTTCAGAGAAGGGACACTTTTTCAGTCTGGAGGGAAGGAGCTGCTTTGTGCCCCTTATGCCAAAAAAATGAACCTAAAGACTGCAGAGGAATCCAAAGCAATCCTTGCAGAAAAAAAGGCCTAGGGGCAGCAGGGCCTGGTGGGAGGAGGAGAGACCTACCATCTCCTCCTGGGAGGCAATGAGCCTGGCTTGTTCCTGTAGTTGGGCCCGGAGGGAATTGATCTGGCGCTGAGACTGGGCGGCTGCCTTCCTCTGGTCCTGAGACAGGGAGGCCTGGAGCCTCTCATTCTCCTCCTGCAGCTGGTGGACACAAGGATGGCTGGTAGGTCAAATGTCTGCAGAGACTTCAGAGTGTCTGGTGCCCCCAGGGTCTGTTTCTGGAGACAAATACTGGTAAAGGGTTCACTTGAACCAGGGTAGAGGATTTCTAGTGCTGGGCAGGTGGCTTTCTAATAACATGTGTGGGGTGTTCCTAAGGAGTAAGAATGGAACATAGGTCCCTAAGACCAGGAGAGAAAGGGCCCTCCTACAGATGTGATTATCCATTGAGGGTAAATTGAGACCATTAAAAAAAAAAAAATCATTCAATGCCATGATTTAGGTGAAGAAAATGTGTTAATATGTTATTTTTAAAGTAATAGCAGAAGCAAAGTGAATCTATTTATTAATATTTGCATAAAGAAACTCTAGAAGAATATATAAGAAAGCAATAGAAGTCATCACCTGTGAGATGGGCACAGGTAAGAATGACTTCTCTGTGTACCTTAGTATATTTCTTCTGCTTTTGGAACCAATTTGAGTATATTTTCTATTTTAAAGTGTTTCAAATAAAATAAAACCCATCACATGGCCACCACACACCTCTATGATAAAGTGGGGAGCAGCATCAACCATGGGCCGGGCTCTGACCTGAGCCTTGTCACCTCCTGAGCTTTCTACGGCAGAACCTGGGGCCCTGGTTAACCAGTGTCCTCCTCAACTGACCTCCTCCTCATGGATGTGTATACAGAAGCAGTTCTCATTACCCTGAGGCCTGTACTGGGCTCAGAAACTGAACTCTACATTTGGATCCCCAGTGTCATATCACTAAGGTCCGTTGTCACCTGGTTTTCTGGGCTTGGGGGCTTTTAAGGAAAACCCCAAACATGGACCAGGTGACTGATCTGAGGTTTATAAGACAAGAAGGCCTCAGCACGGAATGAAGGACTTTGTTGGGCTCACAAGACAAGGCCTGGAATCCCCAGCCCCTGGCCAGGAAAACTTCTGACCCATCAGCTGACCAATTCTTTATATTGATAGCAACCAGCATCTGGGAATAATATCAGCAAGAAAATATCTGCTAGCCAGTTACAGGTGGGATTGGGTGGAAGAGGTGGAATGGAAAGGATGTGGAATCATGAGAGGAGGTCACGGGAACCATGTCCCCAGACCACCCAGGGACACTACCTCTCTCCTCTCAGCCATACGCTCTTCCTGCAGTTTCTTCATTTTTCTCTTCCACTCTGTATTCTGAAAAAGATTAAAAGCTTATTAAATGGGCCCCTCTAGATATGAAATATATATCAGAAAACTACAGAAATTAAAAAGTACTGGCTCATGATTAGGCAGACAGACTAATAGAATAGAATAGAAAGCCCGGACAAAGAAGGGGGGAAAAATGGAAACTTAGTTGGTGAGGGATGGGGGAGATGGATTATTGACTAATGATGTTCAAATAAGTACTATCTGTCTAGAAAAAATATGAACGTGGATCCATATTTAATATTTTAAACCGAAATAAATTCTAGATGGGTCAAAGAATTAAATGTAAAAATTAAAGCCATAAAAGTACTGAAAGAAAAACCCAGAAATCATTTCTTTTTAAATCCCAAGAGTAGGAAAGGCYATAAAGAAAAGATTGATAATTTGATCATTTTAATGACATAAAACATTCTTCATTTTTATATGGCTAAGCCATAATAAATGGAGTTGAAGACCAAAGAGAAAAACAGTGGAAAATAGCCACAACTAGAACAATAAAGAGCTGGGCTAATTTCCACACACTACCCAAAAATGGGCAAGAAAAACATCAATAATAGAAAAATTGGCAAAGAAATTCGTAGAAAAAGAATGGCTGCTTTATGATGGGAAACTTGTGAAGTATCTATGGGTGGAAATACCGCAATGCTGAGAGTTAAATTGGAAGCTCTGCCTCAACCACCTTGGAGAGCAGAATCAGAAGCACCTGTGATTTAATGACTGTCCACTGTCCTTCCCTACCATGGAATGATCAGTGACACAGACCACCTGTAACTGGACTGGAGTAGGATTCACCCACCAGCCAGAGCCACCTCCTACAGCTGGGTCAGAGCAGACGGTGCATAAATTTACTCAGCTTCATTCAGTGACATCACCTCACCTTGCTACCGTGAAATCATCCATAGTGGGAGTATTTACACCACAGCAAATGGCAAATGCTACAAATCAAAACTGTATTTTAGCTCCAGAGAGCTAGTTTAGTTTCTCATTTACCATCACACCAGTGGGTCCATCCTAAATATCTTCAAATCCAGGAAACCATCACACTTTCTGAATCGTTTTCAACTGGGTTAGGATAAAAATTGTGACAAAGGTGTCACCCCATATATGTTTGTATATATTTTGGAAATATGTCAGTCAAGTCAGACCTTGAACACCTAGCACCAGTCTTGCCTGAGAACCTTGCTCTACCCTCTCATGAGTTGGCAAAAGATCTGAAAATACAGACCTTTGATGTCTTGCAATTCCCCTAAATCCATATGGCAAAAAAAATAAGAGGCTTTGTTGGAGATAACAAGGTTCTGGGCTTGCTCTAGAACCTTGGACTGCACAGAGCATGATCACCTGAATCTCCATCTTCTCTCTCAGGGCCTGGAGTTCCTGCGCCTGCCTGAGTCGCTCCTCTGACTCCTCATCCCGCAGCGATCCGAGGTGGGATTCTGTTGCACTGTGAGACCGCAGCGCCTGCAGTTTCTGAAAAGGCCGGGGCATCATTTCATTCAGAAGAAGGTCTAGTCATCACATTGACTTTTACACTTTATGCCGATACAGTGTCAGAAGGGCACAACTTACCCCAACCACGAACCCCCAACTAGTCCTTACTAAACACCCACGTGCCTGCAAATGTTCACATGAATCAGCATTGCTTTTTGCAAGGGTTATCCTGAGGGTTCAGCCCTTGCACAGGGGAAGCAAGCTCCCAGGGAAGGACAGAACCCAAGAGAATCCTTCCAATTCCACTAAAATTCTGCCATACTCAAAACCCTGAGCTCATCTGACCACTGCCCATTTCTTCCTCAGTTTGGAATATGCTGTGGAGAACCAAACTCTTAGAGTCCAGGGGAAGGACTCAGGCATCCCAGGCCACCCCCTGAGGCCTCCTTCCCCTCTTCCACAAAACAAAAAGGTCCTGACTGTCACCTGAAGGGCTGGTTTTGCACACCAGAGCCCAGTCCACTGATTCCAGAACTAGCAGAGTATGAGAAGGAAAAGGCACAGAAAATTAGATCAAAGAGGAAATACCAAGGGCTGGGGTTTAGCTCAGTGGCAGAGCACTTGCTTAGCACATATGGGACTCTGGTTCAATCCCTGGCACCAAATAAATAACAACAAAGACCTGGGGTTGTGGCTCAGCGGTAAAGCGCTTTCCTAGCATGTGTGGGGCCCTGGGTTCTCCTCAGCACCACATAAAAATAAATAAACTAAATAAAGGCATTGTGTCCAACTACAACTAAAAAAATAAAATAACAACAAAGAGACAGAAATGTCCTTCCACCTACCTGTGGTTATTGTGGTTATATACACCACTACTGCACTAACAAAAGCAACACATACCCATTCATATACTATATAAAAATAAATAAAAGTAATGTAAACTAAGAAATGAATTTTTGAGAATAAACAGGTTTTCAACAAAAGAACTTTGAAATGCTTTTTATGTTGGGCACCTCTTCTAGCGTAGAGTTCTGGTTGGCAACGGTTTTAAATTCATCCCAAAATAATTGCTTTAGCTTGTCTATTTCCCCATAAAGCTTGGTCCGCTCTTTTTCTTTCCATTCATCAAAGTGCTTCTTAGCTTCTATTTCTCTCTGACGAGTGAACTCTGCTTCCTACCAAAAATAAAAAGGAAAGAAAGAACAAAGAGAAAAAAAGGAAGGAAAGAAGGAAGAAAAAAGCAAGAACAATGTAAATCATTAATTCCACAATATAGCAAATATTGCTGAGAATTTGCAAAGGCCTTCATTCATGCTTGTCACCATGGAGACAAAGGGTATTTGTCCCATTGTTGTTTGGATCTAGAACTGGCCATTCTAAATCAGCCAAACCTCAATTGTGAAGTCCCTTGAGAACAGGACTCGTCTTCTCTTTCTTTATACTCCTGGCAATGCCTGGCATAGTTGGTGCTCAATAAATTCATGCAGAGAAAATGAATGATGAATGAACAAATGAATAAATGAAGGAATGAGCAGCAAGTTTGTCTTTTCATTCAGCAAATGTTTACTAAACATTTCTTCCAGGCTGGGTTCTGGAACTTTCGGAATCAAATCCAGTCTTTGTTCTCAGAAAACCAACTAAGAGGATAGAGTAAGGAGTTAAAATTCAAGATCAATGGCTTCAGGGGGTGCTGACTAATGCAAGAATTCTGCAACTCTCCACTCTACTTTTGGCCACACAGGTCTGGCAAAATAATTTGATTCTCCCTTCCAAACTACCTAAAATCACTTGCCACATCCAAGAAGGTGCCATTCTAGCTCTGACTCCCAGCTCTGATGACAGCTGGAATTTCAGCTCTGTGGGATTCATGTGCATCAGAGGTCTAAGTAGCCAGTGACCTAAGTCTCCCCGATTCCTGTGCCCACCTGGAGCTGCCGCTGCCTCTCAGCTTCCCTCTGAGCTTCCAGCTCCCCTTGGGTCCATTTTAGCTTGGCCTGTAGCTCTTCCAACACCTCCTCCACAGGCTTCTCTTGCTTCTGTTTTCCTGGGGCTTCATGACAAGAGAGGGTAGAAAGGTAGTTTCTTGCCTCTGCAGTCACACCTCAGCTCAGGACCAGCTTTGCCACCTAGTTCATTGACTTTGGGCAAAGCACATAGTATTCCTGACCCTTTTTCCCAAACTGCAAAATGGAAATCACAACAGCACCCAATTCAGAGGGGGTTAGTGAGGATGAAATGTGATAATGCAAATGCTCAGCATAGTGCTTTCATGACAGCTCAATAAATGTGAACTATTATTGTACTGTCATTTAAAATAAGCATTCTGAAAATACTGTCACATGGAAGCACAAAATTACTAGAGTACCAGAAACAGAATTTGAGCATGCATATGCCATCTATTGATGGAAACATTTCTGTATGTCATTGCAGCAGAGGGAAACATAAAGAAATTAAACATAATTGTAGTTTAAGGTCTTTTAAGTAATATTATTTAAATGTACAGTTTTAATTTTCAATTTAAAAAAAAGGCAGCATGGAAAAAAATTTAACCAACATTGCTTTAAGTGTCTACTTTAAAATTTTTAATTGACAGACAAAATCGTATGTATTTATCATGCACAATGTGATGCTTTAAAGAATATACACACTGTGAAATGATTAAATGTAGATAATTTAACTATGTATTATCTCATTGGGGCACCAATTTGTGTGAGAACTCATAACAGTCTCTCTCTTAGCATTGCTTCCAATTTTTTAAGTTAAAAAAATAATCTCGAATGAATTATAAAAATTGCAATACAGGGGTGCAATTGTAGCTCAGGGTAGAGCGTTTGCCTCAATCCTCAATACCACATAAAAATAAATAAAATAAAGGTATTGTGTCCATCTACAACCAAAAAAAAATGTTTTTAAAACTGCAATACATACAAATAAATGCAAGAGTTAAGGATTAATAAAGACACCAATTATGTCTAATCATTTGTTAGGTTTTGAAGTATTAATAGTGATCTCTAGATAGATGGTACTTCATAAAAGTTTGAATATTTTTCTTTGAAAAGAAGTGGTTTTCTCAGTTTGGATTTTTTTGAAAACAAGTGATTTTTAGAAGGAGTATAAATTATTTTGGTTCAGTAAGGAGATTTCTGGCAAGTGTGGAATAGCAGAGCTGGGCCTCTGGGGAGCCCACTGCTAGAGAATAATACGTCATGAATATTCGTGTAGCAAAAGTGGCCTCAAGAACATATTTCCCTCGGGCTGGGGATGTGGCTACAAGCGGTAGCTCGCTCGCCTCGCAKGCGTGCAGCCCGGGTTCTATCCTCAGCACCACATACCAACAAAGATGTTGTGTCCGCCGAGAACTAGAAAATAAATATTAAAAAYTCTCTCTCTCTCTCTCTCTCTCTCTCTCTCTCTCTCTCTCTCTCTCTCCTCTCTCACTCTCTCTTAAAAAAAAAAAAAAGAACATATTTCCCTACTCCTTTCATCAAGGAAATATTAAGAGATATGCACAAAGATTTACATATGAGAATATCAATCATCCTGTCATATATTAAATAACCCACATATTCAGTGGGAGAATATTATGAAATAAGTTATAATAGCCACGATATAATTTAGTCATCAAAAATCCTATTTTCAAAGATAATTTAGTGTACAAAGCTTGATATATTCTTAAATGAAAATAAGTAATAGTCAAAATTGCATATTATGAAGCTGGGTGTGGTGGCACATGCCTGTAATTCCAGCAGCTCGCAAGGCTGAGACAGGAGGATTGCAAGTTCAAAGTCAATCTCACCAAAAACAAGGTGCTAAGCAACTCAGTGAGACCCTGTCTCTAAATAAAATACAAAATAGGGCTGGGGATGTGGCTCAGTGGTCAAGTGCCCCTTTGTTCAATCCCTAGTACCCCCCCAAAAAAATTGCATATTATGATTACATATGTAACAGAAAAAAAAACTGACAGTATATCAAAATATTAACTGTTGATGATATTGTCCATGGTTTTTATTTTCTCTTTCCTATATTCTTATTTTTAAAGTTTCTATATCAAAGACATATACTTTTATCAACACACCAGTATTTAAGACATGGAAATCTGTTTTTCTTTAGCAGCCTGCAATGCACCAACAACTAGACACATAATAGAGGTAGAGGCTAGGTGTATGATACTATTTTAAAAACAGAATTCAAATCATAGAAAATAAAAAGGTTTTCTTTAATGGGATTTTTATATTTATGTTACATATTTAGATTTATCTTACTTGTACAGCTAGCTATGTCTGTTGAACCTCAAAGAGTAGATGTATGTATGACGATCTCTCTGTTGGAACAACACACAGTCTTGGCACTCATTTGGGAATTCAAATGGTAAAATGTTTACGTGGTTAAGTCAAGATAAGCTCAAGTATATGGAAAAGTCAAAAATCTGGTCTGACTGCTCCTTTACCCCATTTAAGCTCCTTCCTAGCAAGCCTCATAGAACTGCATATTCACAGACAGCTGGGAGGCAAGGGTCCTTCAAAGTCACCCCATCTGCCTGTCCCATTCTCTGGGAAATCCACAGAAATCCAGAAGGGGAGCAATGACTAAGTGACATCACAGATAGGGACAAAGCTAAGACTGTAAACTACCCATCCACTCCCATCTCATCCAGCCCCCTGTGGGATCCCCCTCTGTGGACAGTAGGTCACCCCATCTGCATCTGGATGGTGAGACTCTAAGGGCCCAGATGGGTGTACAGGGTCCCCCTGTCCACGGAATACCAGCCTACGCCCTTCCTCAGTTCCCTTCGGGTGGTGGGGTCAGGGGGACTGCAACTTGACTCACCTCCTTCTGCCACTCCTGCATGCCTGCGCTGGATGTGACCCCGGAGGAAAGTGGCATTCATGAATGTCTTGTCACATAAGTGGCACTACACAGAAGGGAAACAATTGGGAGTGTGGCATTAAATCTCCTGAGACATCTTCCACATATCAAAACACCCCTTCCCTTGGGACCCCTGGGCTACTTCAGAAACAAAGAATTTGAGGAGCTGGGAATGCAGCTCAGTGACAGAGCACATGCTCAGTACATGCAAGGCCCTGGGGTCAATGTCTAGCACTATGAAAAAAAAAAGGGCAAGAAATTAAGAATTTGATTTACTGGGTAGAAGAATTTGATTTAGTGGGTGACATCTGCCTAATACTATCAGTGCTCTGGGGATCTCTGAACACTGACTGGTACTGAGGAATGATACTGAGGAATTTCTGTTGATTTTTCAGGATGTGATGATAGGGGTGTGTTTATCTTTCAAAATGGGATTCCTCGCCTTTAGAGATACATACTGAAACATTATAGATACAAGCATATGACCAATACACTTCAGGGTAGTTCAGGAGTGGGGGAAAGTGGGTAGAGATACACATGGAATGGCGTTGGCCACAAGATGAGAACTTCTGAGCTAACAGTATGTAAATGAAGGTTCATTATATCATCCTCTCTGCTTTGGTATGTTTCAAATTTTTCATGAAAAAGTATTCATTAAAAACAAATGCTGAATGTTTTCTCTGATATAAGGAGGCTAACTCATAGTGGGGTAGGGAGGGGGAGCATGGGAGGAATAGAGGAACTCTAGACAGGGCAGAGGGGTGGGAGGAGAAGGAAGGGGGCATGGGATTAGAAATGATGGTGGAATGTGATGGACATCATTATCCAAAGTTCATGTATGAAGACTTGAATTGGGTATCAACATACTTTATATACAAACAGAGATATGAAAAATTGTGGTATATGTGTATATTAAGAATGCAAAAAAGAGTACATGTATAATGGCATAAATTGATGTGAACATACTTTATATACAGAGATATGAAAAATTGTGCTCTATATATGTAATAAGGACTGTAATGCATCCCACTGTTGTAAGTCTTTTTTTTTTAATTTTTAATATTTATTTTCTAGTTCTCGGCGGACACAACATCTTTGTTGGTATGTGGTGCTGAGGATCGAACCCGGGCCGCACGCATGCCAGGCAAGTGCGCTACCGCTTGAGCCACATCCCCAGCCCCCCATCCCACTGTTGTAGTGTATTTAAAAAAATAAAATAAAATAAATTAAAAAATAAAACATAACTGAAATATATGTGATTTTAAATCCTAAAAAAACAAAAAGCCAATGTCGGGCTAGGGTGTGGCTCAATGCTAAGCACTTGCCTAGCATGCTCAAGGCCCTTATTTTGATTCCCCAGCACCACCAGAAAAAAAAAAAAAAAAAAAAAAAGACTCTCAGCTGTTATTGAAGAATTGATGTGGGTCTGGGTGCAGTGGTGCATGCCTATAATCCCAGCAGCTCAGAAGGCTGAGGCAGGAAGATCGTGAGTTCAAAGCCAGCCTCAGCAACAGTGAGGCACTAAGCAACTCAGTGAGACCCTATCTCTAAATGAAAATTACAAAATAGGGCTGGGGATGTGGTTCAGTGGTTGAGTGTTCCTGAGTTCAATCTTTGGTACCCTCCCCCTGCAAAAAAAGAATTGATGATGTGGGGACGAGAACCTAGTGTCAAAAAGTATTGTCGAGAACTAAAAAACACAAGTCACCCATCACTCCCAAACTTTGAGTTTCTTGAAACCTAACCAACATAACCTGTGTCCATACCTTCAGAGCTTGGCCACTGTGACAATTTATTATAAGGTCAATGTCTCCAGTCTGCATTTTCCATGGAGACATATTCCAATGCTCAAAAGCTGCTCAGGGTAATGAACCATCACCTGGGTAAACAGTGGAGCCCCCTTCCAAAAATGAGGCCTACTATTCCCTTGCCACACACTGATTCTACACACATACATCTTTACACAGTGCACTCTCTACACACACACACACACACACACACACACACACACACATTCACACCCTCCATAAATACACACATACCTAGGTACGTACACTACATGTCCTTCATTTCTTCACATTTACATCCATACACACATCCTCCATAAGTACAAACACACTTCCTTACACACTTATACACCATGCTTTCACACAAAGTACATCTTTATATATACACTCTTGAGTTGTACCTTTCATGATAAACCAGACCAAAAATTTGTGACATGCCACATACTCTCCATAAACACAAATATCATTTGCTGAAGTACCTCCAAGATTCACAAACACAGATTAAACACACATATTCACACCATCCACACACACACATACACATATCCTGCATACCTTCACAAATACATACACTAGACATGCACCCTGTATATGTGCTTATACACATACATACTCCATGTATACCAYCTCCATACATAGCTCTCACACGTGTACAACTACCACACATACATAAACATACAGAGAAGAACCTGATCAGACACACTCAGATCTCAGACCACAAGCAACATCTCTCAAATCTATTCCTAACCAGTGAGAATGACCCATACTGGCCTTATGGCCCAGGACTGTGCTGGCCAGGTGGCCTGGTGGCTGGGGCACACAGACCCCACCCTCCCACCCTGTGCACCATGGTGGTTCCTCACCGTGTGGTAGCTGTGGGCGCCTGTCTGCATCAGCAGCTGCTGCAGGGTGCTGATCATCTTGCGACGTCGGCGACTCTCCTCCCGCACTCCCTTGAGCTCATCAGCCTGGCGGCCCAGCTCCTGCTGGCCCCGCTGCTGCTGGCCCAGGCTGGCCTGCAGCCGTGCCTCCAGCTGGGCAACGCTGGCACTCAGGCAGTCCTGGCAGTGCAGCAGGTACTCTATGATGAGCTGTGCCAGGCGCAGCACCTTGAGCAGCACCACGTCCACAGGGTGCCCACAGCGGCTGCACACCTCCCGGTCCAAATTGCAGAAGGTGACGCCAGCAATGTTCTCCTGCAGAGTGGCCACATCCAGCTCCCGAGCCACACGGTCCACATCCAGGGCGCTAATACGCCTCCAGTCTAGGCTCTCATTGCGAGGCTGGAACTTGAAAGTGGGGAGTGTGTAGACCCCATAGTGGGGGCTGCTAATACCTTCAGTAGTAGCGGCTGTGGACTGCATGGAGGGGAGAAACCCTGGATTGACCACCGGGCTGTGATGCCACCAAGGCCACGGCTGCTGGCCAAGGAACTGAAAGAGAGCCTGAAAAATGAGAAGAGAGTCTAAGTTAAGCAAGGTGTGTGTGGCTGCATGTACTGTGCAGCTGGTCAGCATGAGTCAAGTGGGCTAGTGGTTACTATATGAGAGGAACACATGTTGTGGCCAGAGCCATAGAAAGGAAGGGTATGGGCCTTGCAATTAATTGCATGGGTATAGATTTGAAACCTCTATCTGGGCAAGATCTCTCCATTTCAGCCTCCTAAATACATCAGGGACCAGAAGACCCATTTATCAGAATTGTGGTAAGGAATGCGGCAGGTGAAGCACCCAGCCTAGTACCCTAGCACACAGTAGGTTCTCAGAGAACCCTTCCAGACCTACCGCAGGAGTTCCTGGCAGAGAACTTTGTCAGGTGGAGCTGTCAAATGTATAACTGGGTCCTTCTGCAACCCTACATGTGTCTCAGGACAATGTCCAACCACTTGCCATGGGTGGCAGAACCATCTACTAACCACCCAATCCTTGCCTTCTGTCATCACAGGATTCTAGTGGAACATGGTGGATTACATTTCCCAGCTTCCCCTGCAGTGAGGTGTGATGACATATCTAAATTCTCTCCCATGGAATGTAAGCCAGGAGGGGCTCAAGAAAGCTGCCATGTCTCTGCACAGATTATGTTCAATCCAGAAAGAGCTTTTTTCCTTCAATTTTTTGCTGTGCTAGGAATTGAGCCAAATGGTAGTTTGATGATACTGGAGGGAATTTAAAGTGAATACTGTAAATTTTGATTTGTAGCTCGGAGGTAGAACACTTGCCTAGCATGCACGAGGCCCTGGGTTCTACCCCTAGCACTGTAAAATAATAAAATAAAAATCATTAATTTAATTTAAAGTAAGTAAATAGGGGCTGGGGTTGTGGCTCAGTGGTAATGTGCTCGCCTAGCATATATGAGGCACTGGTTCGATTCTCAGCACCACATAAAAATAAAGACAATAAAATCCATCAACAACTAAAAAAATTTTAAAAATAAATAAAGTAAGTAAATAAATAAGGTAGGTTATTAGAAAAAAAGAACTACAATATACTCTGTAGACAAACTCATATTGCTTGAGAAAAAATTGTCATTGTAGTATCATTTATAAAAATGAAGTACAAGGAAATAAGGAATTGTTATACAATAAAATACTGCTATTGATAAGTATAAAGCAGCTTCACATATACTGATATGTAATAACAATATCACATATTAATATATACATAAACTTTCATTTGGTTTAATTATATATTAATATAATCATATTTACTAGCTCACAAATTATTTATTAATTACTAATAATATTTATAAATATTAATTATTTACATAAATGTCACACTGGAGTAATCACCTATGAGAGGAGGGCAATGGGAGTACAAATTAATAAATAAATGAATTGATGAAAATGGCATGGATAGATAGGAGATGGTCAGATAGATAGGCCTTACACAAACCAAAGATAATTTGAATAATCTGTATCTGTTATAATTATATAAAATATATAATTATTATTCATGCATAAATTCATTTATCTACAGGATTTCATGAGCATGGACAAGTGGGTTATATATAATTTTTTTTACATGTTGATGGACCTTTATTTTATTCATTTATTTTTATTTGGTGCTAAGAATCGAACCCAGTGGCTCACACATGCTAAGCAAGCGCTCTACCACTGAGCCACCACCCCAGGCCGCATGGGCAATTCTTGAAAGATGGACAAAACACTGTCAGCAATGGCTACCTCTAGAGAATGGAAAGGGAGGCTGGAGGACATCTGTTTTTCATTTTCCACTTCTCTAAGTTATTTGCAGTTCCCTTGAGGTACATGTTACCCCATTTAATCAAGTTCTTTCTGGATTCAGTGATTCAGACATGAAAATATGGTAGAAAGAGAAGAAAGGCCATTGACCCCAGGAAGGAGAAAGGCCTTGAGGAGAGAGTCTGGGCTGGCACAGGGGAAGGACCTCCAGGAAAGCACCTGGGCTTGCTGAGCTCTTCATCTGGGAAAGGCAGTGACAGGCCACTGTACGAAGTGGAAGAGAGGCGAGGGCATGGCACTCACAACTCAGGGAGTCTACACACGAACTTACAAACAGGCACAGGATTATTATTCCATTTCACAAACAAGGAAACTGATGTCATGAGAAGTTGAGTGTCTTGCCCCAGCTAGAAAGATCAGCATTGAAGTGCTAGTACACAGGCCTCTGGTTCCAAAGCTTGTGGACTTTGAACTCCTAAACACTGATTCTTGGGGTTATTACTTTGATTAGAATCTCAGTCCTTTTCCCTCAAACTTCCAACTCATTCATTCATTGAAGGTACACCTCCATGGGTCCAGCCCTATGCTAGGCACTGGGGGCTTCCCAGATGTATCAACCACACACCTGCTCCCCACTGTCCAGCTCAGTATGGCTCCTTCTTGTCACAGCACCAAGGGCAGGCCTCTTCGCCAGGTCTTGACACTGCCCACAGGATGCTGCAGACCCACCTTTTCAGTTTCAGCTCCCATCTTTCCTTCTTTTCTTGGATCCTCTTCCTTAACATACTCCAAAAACACAGCCATCCAGAATACACAACCCCCCCCGCCTCCGGGCCTACTTAACATATCACCAAAAAAAAAAAAAAAAAAAGAGCTGGGTGACATGGTACTCACCATGCTTAGCTCCAAGCTCACTGCACCACTGGAGCCCCGGAGACAACTGCTCACAACAAGCAGTGCCTCAGAGCAACAGCAGGTTACCAGGCATGTTGCAGGCAAGGGTAACAGGACACCTGCTTCCTGTCCTCCCATAGACCATGAGCTCACCTGAGAACTTCACTGCTTAACTATTTAAGCTTTGGTCTCAGCTGCTTCCCAGCAGTCCTCCCCAAGAACAAGGCCAATAACTGCCCATCACCAACTCTCCCAGCTCTCCTCCCACCTCTTTGCCTCCTCTTTAAACAGTGACTATTCTTTCACTTTTCACTTAAAGCAGGACTGCTAGTGTAACCTTGAGATTTTTCTGTTCACCCATGACTCATTCTCCCTGCACACTGTCCTGGGGATGAGTTCACACATACAGCTTCAACTATGACAGGCTTGCTCTCATAGGAGCCTCAGACACCCCCAAATCTCTTTCTCTCTGGCCTTTCTCTCTTGTGATCTTAAGGCCCAATCCTTCTAAACTGATTATACCTGGAGTTGCAAACCCAAGTGCTACCAACACCAGGAAAGTAGCATTACATGCCTGAAGTGCCAGGTAAGGGAGAAGCCACAGCACAAGTTTGATGATAAATGGCAACTGATTCCCCACCTTAGAGTCCAAGATAAAGTAAGGCAGTGGTTCTCAAAGTATGTTCCCTGGACCATCAGCAGCAGCAGCACCCAAGATCTTGTTAGAAATGTAGCTTCTCACACTTAGGGGTTCAGAACCACCATAGTAGATAGTGTTGGGATAAAGGAAAAGGAGGGAGGAGGGTGTGCCCTGTTTAAAAAGAGCAGCCACCACTGAACTTTAGCCATCTGGAAAAGAACGGTGTTTCTTGTAGGCTGACTGCAAATTCATTAAGAACGACATCCCAAGACTACGTCTATGACTCTTTCCAAACCACCTTTCTAAGTGTACCTTCCACCACCGAGTTACTTTCTGTACACACTTTCACACCTCTGGGTGTTTATTTGAGTCTCAGGCACTGTTTTTCTTTAGCTTTACAGAGTAGAATTCATGTAATCCTCAGAACAATCCTCTGGTCAGGACTGTTGGTATTATTGAGCACCACCTCTTGTTATAGGGCTTCAGCCACCTCCTTCTGATCCTATTGAGGGTGGATGCRTGCCTGAAAGCCCTGCTTATCATGATTACCACCAGAAAGCCCTTCCAGACCCACAGTCAAAATATCCTGGCCCTCCTGGTGTCCCAGAGCACAGAGTATACAGTCTAGTCCATGTGGGGTGGCTGTGTAATATTCATTCATCCATCCATCAGCACAGGATTCCTGAGCCGCTGCTAAGTGCCAGGTACCGTAACTCACATTCAGATTGGATAGTGACCCAGGCAAACTGTCCCTGCCATTGTCAATAAAAAGAGTTAACATCTGTGGAATCCAACTATGTTTTACACACAGTTCTAAAGTTTTATGTGTGTTATCTGGTTCAATTCTCACAACCCATCATACAGACGAAGAAACTGAGAGTGAACAGAGAGGAAATGACTTTCACACAATGCCAACTGCAGTGTCTGGCTCCAGAGTTTGTTCTCCAAAAAAGCAGAAAAACACAGAAATTACTCACAGACTGGTAGGTGCCAGGGAAGGAGTTAAGAGAGGGTGCTATGGGAGCACCAAGGAAGGTCCCTTACCAGAATATTTCTGTTTCTCCTCCTCCAGCTCCAAGCTTTCCAGGACCTTCACCAGGATTCATTCCTATCTGTTGTATTCCAGCCCCTGACCAATTTTCCTGAGCTCAGATTGCTATAGAGCTGAGTAACATTGTCCAAATCTTAGAATAGCTGCCTACATTCTTGGGGTCTTGAAGAAATGAAGCTATGAACCACCAAGAATTAGGGTAAAGAGTAAAAATGAAGTTAGGAGTCCTTCATTTGAACTCACTGGAGTGAAATAGCAGAGTAAAATGCTAGATTTGTTGACCGCCTAGGTCCACAGGTTGACTCCAGTGGCTACTAATGAAAGCAGAGAGTGCAGGAGCCCTGTGGGTGGGCTCAGGCACACCAGTAAGGCATCCCAGTACCACACTGTCACTATGTGCCCTTGGTGTGATAGCTTGCATCCTGAGCCACTCTTAAACCTTTGCCTTCATACTCTGAGCATATTCCTTTAATATAGAGAATAACATTCTCACTCCCAGTTATGCAGGATTTTGAATTAGTTTGTACTGTACCCCCAAAATACCATGCCTTTCTCCCTCTGGAACCCCAAGGGTCCAATTCTCAGAAGTCCTAGGGCTCTGGCATTAAAAGCAGAACTGTGGGAATTGGAAGATGATGATGATAGCAGCTATTATTTATCAGACATTTATATTCCAGATCTGTACCAGCCTTTAAAAGTGCTATTTCCAGCCCACACATACCCTTGTTAAGAAGCTACGATTTGCCTCATCTGACAAATGCAACCAAGGTTCAGGGAGACTAAGAGACCTGCCCCAAGTCACTCAGCTACTAAGCAACCAACTTCTGTCTAACTTGAAAGCTTTTGAATTAGCCAAACTAACTCCCAATAATGGAATGGGGGCGGGGAGTGATGATGATGATATATAAATTATTTCCTATTATGGAAATTACAGTACCTGAGACTTCCTGACCAAAGTGCAAGGGCTGACAGGGTTTACAGCAAATCATGACAGGATCAGTGTTGGAGATCTTAAAATCTCCCCGTGTCTGCAGGGCTAGTCTGAACACGACTCAGCTCTACAACTTGCTTTCTGGCTACAGTAGACAGAAGACAAAGCCAAATGAAAGTGTGTAAGGTTACCTGGAAACCACGTGCTCCAGGGAAAAGGACACGTGCTTTCTCTTGACTGAATTATCAGCACAGTGCTTTCTCCACATCTGGGAATAGACACTAAAGTAGATGTGACTAACTGTCATTAGGAAATCTGAAGCTATGTCATCCACCTCTACATGTTTTGATGGGGCTCTAGGAAACTTCCCTTCCCAATCCCAGTCCAATACCATGAATTAATAACCCCAAAGAATATTTGTGCTAGCACTTTATTGATGGAGAGTTGGCTTCTACCCATGGCAATCCCACACCCAATAGGGAAAACCCATCTACCACCCTTGCTTTGCACACCCCTGGTCACCACCCAGCAAGGCAGCCATCACACTGTGAACAGTTCCTGGAGAATTTACATTTCTTTTGAAATCTTCCCACCTAAAATCGATCAAAGATAACTTCCACAAAATTGGCCAAATGCCTGGATTTTTATTTAACTTGACAGCAGGACACAACATTGTACTGTCTTTTCTCCCTCAAGAAAGCCCCCATGAGGAGATTCTGGAGGGTGCCAAGCTTCTAAAGGGCTGCCAAGCAATCATTTACAAACCTGCCCTGGCTTCCAAAACTGCCTGGGGAACTGGGGCACATCATTAGTGCTAATTGCTGTGGCTGCCAAGGAAACCTTCCCACAGTTTGCAAACAGGCTCTGTACACAGCACAGGCAAGGGAGTGCAAGGAGACTCGATAGAGATCAGAGGGACCTAGGGGCTCTCCTGGAGCACTACAGTTACAGACTTTAGACTTGATCTTGGATTCTGCCCTTTTCAAAGGAGTCCCCCTTTCCTGCTCTTCCCTGTTTCTCTAGGGGCTGCATCCGCGGTCACAACCTTCAAATAGCAAGAAGGAGAAATCCATTCCACCAGGAATAGAGCTCTCTCCCTTGCAGCTGGCCTTCTATTCCCAGCAACTTTAAGGAGGTAGTTTAATTTTATTTATTCACTTTTTTATGTGCACTGGTGCTGTGGAATGAACCTTTGGCCTGGCACATGCTAATCTCCAACTCTTCCACTGAGCTATAACCCCAATCCCAAGGGGGTATTTTTTAAAAGACAGTGTTTACGTTTATTGTCAAAAGTCTATTGTAAATTTCTGCCACGCAAAGATTCTCTTTAAAATAAAAGTAGGTGTGGAGATTTGACTGATGTCCCTTGGAAGTATTTTAGACATGAGGACTGAATGGCCTATCTTCTGAGTTGCAGAATTGTCAAAAAACAAACCAAAAAACAAAATCTGCTTTTTACACCTTTGCCCGGTACTAAGTAAATCTCCTGTGGACTTTTTTCCACCGCCACCTCAAATCAACAATCCTGTTGCTGCCTCTGCTAAACTCCAGTCCAGGGGTGGAACCGGGAGTAAATAGAGATGCCAACATGTTTGTTTAAAAAGTCGTCTCATCGCTAACAGATCTCCCTTTAACTACAGAACTCAAATCATCAAGCCCCCTAAATCACATTTTTTTTTCTTTTTCTTTCCTTTTCCTTTTTCTTTCTTTTTTTTTTTTTTTCTTCCAAAATGTAAAAGGGCAAGGCCTCCCAGGGAAGCCGAGGCCTGGGGGGATCAGTCGTGCCCACTCTGCGCCTTCAACGCCCGGGTGAGTCCTTCCCTCCCAGGGTACCTCGGTCCGGAGCAGGCCAAAGGGGCTGGCGCGGAGTGCCCAGCGGAGCCCAGGGAGCCGCTGGTCGGGAGGCAGAGCCGGCAGTCCCGCCGAGGGGCTGGACCCCTGCAGGACACCAAGGCAGCCAAGGTTTAACCTCCTTCCGCCCACGGTCCGGATCGCTCCGACTGCAGCCACGCCGCCTTCCCGCTCCCCTCCCGGGCTGAATTCCTGGCATAGTTTTCCCAGGCGGCCAGACTCACCAGGGGGCTCACCCGGGGCTGGGGGCAGCGGGTAAAGATCTCGGGGTTCTAGCTTTCCTTCTCGCCCCAGGCCCGCTGCCTGACTCACTTTACCGCCCCAGATATCCCAGAGTCAGCCCGGAGTCCTGCGCAGCCCAGGGATGCTGCTTCCCCAGCCACCACTAGCGGGGCTGCGCGCACTCCGCGGCGGGGAGAAGGCTAGCCCCCGCCGCCCCAGGGCGGTCCACCCGCAGTGGTCAGGGGCCGAGATCGCCTCCTTACGCTAGCAGCTCCAGGCTTGGGGTCTGTGTAGCCTCCCGCTCCCTCCGCAGCGTCCCAGCCATTCCAAGGAGAGGCGGAGCCTATTCCCAGCACCCCCCGGGACGAGCTATTTTTAGATCTGTAACGGATGGGAGGACGGAGGGAATGCCACGTTTAATCCGTTAAGAAAATCCAAGATCCAAATCACTAGTTCCCGGGCCTTGCTGAGAGTTGGGCGTGTTGAAGCCCAGGGGGGCTGGAGTGCTCCTACCCTCTCCTTCTTTCACTCCCTACCACCCCAGTCCCCATCCCCGCCCCACGTGCTCCCTTTCTCCCCCTCCAGGCCCACAGCGATGGGCCTGCTGTAAACTGGGGCGACTGCAGCTCCGCCCCATCTCCGCAGACAGCTCTGCTCACCCGCCCAAAACTAAGGGGAACTTTCTAGATTTTGATCCTTTGAATCCTTTGGGTATATGCTTTAGATTGATCAGATGGCAACCACCTTCCCCCCACACACCTCATTTTCTCTCCCTGATCCCTTGCGATTCCCAAAATTATGGGCTCTTGTTTTGTCTTGCTTTGCTGTTCTGTGTTTTTTTTTTTTTTTTTTTTTTTTTTGCTTTGTTTGATTTTGTTAAGGCCTTCCTTCCACAGCAGCTTCAGTCCTCTGCATCTTGGGACAGTCAAGTGTTACCGCTGTTTACCAGTGCTTCCCCAAATCCTCAAGTATAACAGAGAAGCACCCAACGAGGCAAGTGTAAAGTAGAAAGTAGAAGGCTTTATTAAAGGACAGCAGAAAAGACTTCTCCCCAGAGGAAAAATCTGCTAAAAGGAAAGGCGAGATCTTCCCTTTTTTTATAGCTAAGGTCTTTATCTTGCAGTGATAGAATGCAGGTGAGAAGGCCTGCATGGGAGGTGGGAGATAGGTGGGCTGAAGGAGTAATCTGTTTGCTGGGAGCTGCTTCAGCATTAACATCCCTTAGGATGGGTTCCCAGCCTGGCCTTGGGGACATTAACATTTCAATTTTCGCAAGTGCTGCTCTAGTTTCCTGAACTCCATTTGATAATGGTCTCCATTTTCTTTATCTTACTTGATATTAGACTCGATTTACCTAACTACGCTAACTACCTATCTGTAAATCTGGCTTCAAAAGCAAAAGTATTGGGGAATACATGTTGGCAAAGATGTAGAGAAACTGGAACCTCTGTGCATTGCTGGTAGAAATACAAATGGTAGAGCCACTATGGAAAAGAGGGACTACCATTAGTCCCTCAAAAAATCAAACAGAATTGCCACAGGGACCAGGCAGTGGCATTTGGGAGGCTGAGACAGGAGAATCCAGAGTTCAAAGCCAGCCTCAGCAAAGGTGAGGCACTTTGCAACTCTGTGAGACTCTATCTCTAAACAAAATAAAAAGTAGGGCTGGAGATGTGGCTCAGTGGTTGAGTTCAATCCCTGGTACCAAAAAAAAAAAAAAAAAAAAAAAATCCATAGGATCCAGCAATTCCACTTCAGGGTATATATTCCCCCCAAAATTGAAAGCAAGGACCTGAACAGATATCTGTACACTCATGTTTATAATAGCATTATTCACAATAGCTAAAAGGTAGAAACAACATAAAGGTACACTGGCAGATGAATGGATAGGCACATGTGGTATATACATACAATGGAATAGTACCCTTAGAAAAAAAGGTAATTTTGATATATACTACACCATGAATGAACTTGGAAACTTGTCTCATCCATTCAGGCTGCTATAACCAAATACCAGAGACTGGGTAGCTTATAGACAACAGATGCATTTTTCACAGTTCTGGAGACTGGGAAGTCTAAGATAAAGGGATCAACATACTCAGTGTCTGTTAAGAGCCTTTCCTGATTGATAGTTGTTGTCTAGCTGTGTGCTCAATGGAGGAAGTGCCTAAGTACTCTCTGGAGTCTCTTTTTATGAAGACACCAAACCCAGTCATGAGGGTTCCACCCTCATGGCTTAATGACATGCAAAAAGCCCACTCCTGATACCATCACTGTGGGGGTCCAGATTTCAATTCCATTGCTAGGGAACAAAACATTCAGACAAAAGCAAAATGTCATGCTGCTATGGTTGGATGTGTCCCTCAAAGTTCCCTGTAGTAAAAGATTTGTCCCCAGTGTGGTGCTATTGAGAAACTGATGTGACTCCATTTCTGAGAAACCAGACTCTACCTCAGAGCAAAGCCTGTCCAAGGAAGGGGGCGTGACCCTTGTCCTTGGAAAAACCCACAGAGCACTCCTAGGCACATACCCACCCTGCTGAGCTGTTTGTCTGCAAATAACGGGAGAGATCTTTAGGGCGCCAGGTGTCCCTGACTCAGTTAGGCTAGGCGAGGACTCATAGCAACCCCCTAGTAACCCCCTATAAGCATGAGACAGAGAAAATACCTGGGATGCCAGATGACCCCCCAGTAGTTTATGGTGGCTGATAACATGTTGGGAAACCATGTAGTTTAGCACATACACCCCTCGTGGCTTAAACCAATCAGTTCAAAGGAATCCCCTTCTTGTACTAACCAATCACCCCTACCCAACTTGTTTCCGCCAGTGAATGTGCTAATCAATGTTAAGAGTTGTTGTTTGACTTTCCCGTTGTGTGAAATGATTTGCTGTGTGATGTTGTGACTCACAGAGTATCCCCCCAAAACCTATAAAATCTCACTGAACAAAGGACCAGGACTCACTCCCTGGGATTGCTGCATCGGAAACGGTTGTGAGTCCAGGCTTGCAATAAAGACTCTTGTGTGACTGCATCAGATTCAGCTCCTGGAGGTCTGTTGGGATCCCACGAATCTGGCATTCTAATATGTGAATCTGGCAATCCACTACCTTAACAGATGTGGCCATCTAGGAAGTCTCTAAGTCATTGGGGTTGTGCCCTTGAAGGAGATGATGACATGCCAGTCCCTTCCTATTCCCTTGTTTTCTTCCCTGTTGTGAAGTGAGCACTTTTGCTCTGCCACATGGTCCTGCTGCCATATGCCCAAACCAATGGGGCCAATCAAACATGGACTGAAACTGTGAGCCAAAATCAACTTTTTCTCTTTATAAGTGATTATCTCAGGTATTTGCCATAGTGTCAGAAAGCAGACTAAGACATGCTAAGTAAAATAAGCCAATCACAAAAGAAAAAAAAACATTGTTTAATTTTACTTATATAAAGTAACTAGAAATTGTCAAATTCATACAGACAGAAGTGGAACAATGGTTACCTGGGCCTGGGGGGAGGGATAGGAGCTATTATTTAATATGGTTGCACAATAATGTGAATGTACTTAATGCCATGAATTGTACATTCACAAATTATTAAAATGACAAACTTTAAGTCAGGCCTGGGAACACAGCTTGTAATGCCAGCAGCTCAGGAGACTGAGCCGGGAGGACTACGAATTCAAAGCCAGCCTCAGCAACTTTGTGAGGCCATGTCTCAAAATTTTAAAAAGCCTGGGGCTGTTGCTCAATCAGGGCTTAACCCCTGGGTTTGATACCTGGTACCAAAAACATAAATAAATAAGGCAAACTTTATGTTATGTATATTCTACACAAATCTTAAAAGGTAAAATTATAAGAATAATAAAGTGTACAGAACAGAGATCAGGATCAAGTGGAGAAGCCTAAATTAGCCTCTGCTCTGATGGAGAATCGTGTTCCTTTCCTCTTCCCCTGGTCAGAGAATCCTTTTCACTGGATGGAAGAGAAATATCCAGGCTTTGCAGTCAAAGACACGTCTAAGTTCTCACTTCCTAAGATGTTTAAATCCGAGAAAGTCTCTTAATCTCACTGACCTTCCTCTTTCTCATCTGTAAAATTGAAAAAATAAACTCTACCTAGCAAGGTTGTCATGAGAAAAGAATTGACTGATGTGTCTCTAGGCTCAACAGGACCTGGACAGTCAGTGGGGTATCTTCCAGAACTCACACTATAAAATTGCTTGGACACTTGCTTCTCACCTCTCTTCCCACTGTATCCCCGCACCCGCAGGAAGGGTACAGAAAGCAGCTCTCAGGGCACCTGTGTATGTTCGTGGGTATTCTTTCCACCCTCAATTTCCCCATGAGGTGCCCTCCTTTGCAGGGCTGTTTTAACACACACCCTAACAAAGCAGATTTAACACACACCCTATCCACCTTAGCCAAAATCCGAAGTCTCCAGCCTTGGCTGATCAAGATTTCCCACATATATAACCCTTGTATCTTTTCCTTAAGTAGCCTCAGATCAGCATTCAATACAAGGGAGCTTTGAGTGCCTATTATGTGCTAAATTCTGTTCTTGGTCCTAAGAACACCCAAAGCTTATAGAGGATTAGACCACTTAGCACTGGGCAGCTATTACCCTCTGATGCCACAGCACTCAAAAATTTTGGTGGCACTAGTAGGGACTCTATATAGTCCATAATCTAGGAATAGGCCAGAAACTGGCCCTAAATGGCTAGACCAGGAGACATTCCTGCCACTCTGCGGAGGTGGGCTATGACTGTGGAGCACGAGAGGGCAGGAGGGTGGGTATTTCATATCTGCAGTTTCCATCTCGTCATCCTCAGTCCCGTGCCAGATCTGGCCCTCCGATCCAGTTCAGCCTGTCCTGAGCGTTCCCCTTCCTACACCTGGAGATATGTCAGGAAATAGTGGGCCACGCCTTGACAGCCCAGGAGAGCAGTGTGTTCTCTCCCACCAACTGYTAACATCACACCTCAGAAGCCAGCTCAGATCTCAGGCTTCAGGAGGAAAAATCTAGGGAAACTGAGGTCTCCCAGGGCCGAGACACCAGCCATCACTGTGATTGTAGGTCAAAGGTGCATTGTTGAGTTTTCATGGTGCTGATGTATAGACAGGCAGGCACACAATCTGAGGGCGGGTTTACGTTAAAGTCTGATTTGCTAGTTTCTCTTGAAAACTATGAGGCAACAAAGGATGTGTCTAGAGCTGATTAGAGCCCAGGGGGCAATTTTCCTTAGAGCCACAAGGGAGCCTATTCCTCAAAAGATTATTTTGAAGAAGTCTGTGTACAGGCAGAAGGGAACTTTCTCAGGAAAAAGTAATCTGGCCACTCATTGGCTGGAGGCTA